GAGTCAGTCGAAATTTGTACCCACACGCAGCACACTTGTTACAGACAAGTTACAAAATGGACACTACAGCAAATACAAGAGTGGATAAAGATAAAGTATTTATTGCAAAACATTTAAATAAAACTGACAGACTGTACAATCAGAGGCTAGGTCTACTTCTACAAATCAAGAGAGGAAGGTTATTTCTTTAGAAAAGACACAGACTGCATACTCTTACAGATAAAAAACAGATACTTACTGGAGAGAAGCAGTTCACAGGGTTATAATGTCAGCTTCAGCTGGTCTCTTAGCACATGGAAAAATAGATGGTACCCTTGAGCTGATGATAAGTGGCAGCAGTCTGGTCGGTCCAGAGTGCCCATACTGTAGCCCTTATGCGTCCATCTGGCTCTCCCTGTTTGGTTGATGGTGGAGCGATGATTTTGACAGCAGAGCGTGGGCTGCAGCAAGTTGCACCTACAAATCCCTCATTTGGCTGTACATGCTAAGCTATGGTAAAGAAAAATATTTGTGTCGGATGCTTGATCCAGATCAAGACACAGTGCATTTCAGTCAAGTTTGAAGGCAGCACAGACAGGCAGGATGGCCCATATGGCTGGAGATTTAAAGCTGATGTTTAGGCAATAAATAAAGAGTGGGTTCACATTTAACCCTTTGATGCGCAACATATCCACACCCCCTCTAATGCGCAACATGGGTCTAAAAAGACCCGCATTCATTTCCAATGGTATTTCATGCTGGCTGAGTTTTTCTTTGTTCTATCTTTTGAAATAAGTTTATTTTCTGATTGAATATTCCAAATATTCTTTAAATATCTTGTTTTTGATCACCACTGATCATTATTTCTATTTTTCTTTTCATACTTTATGAAATAATATAGTTTCTATATTATTACATCAAGTTTACACACATGGGTCAAAAACGACCCATTCATCCAAGTGTGATTTAATATTGAATTACCTAACACTATAATAATAATTTGTTTCAAGTAATGAAATTAGCAGTGAGTGGGGCCAAACCATAGACTGTATATACCATGGACAACTTGGTTCCGCCTACCGCCTATATACGGATTTGGAGCCAAATAGCTCTCGGTATTTCCGGGACTTTTCTACATTTCTGAAACCAGAGCTGCGCAGTTGCGATGCGTGCATTTGGCCGCGCAGTCGCTGAAGAGTCGCTGTGATGACGCTCGGCTCAAACAGCGTATCCCCAGGGAGAGCTACGCAATCCCTGAACGCCAATAGGCTGTATCAGGTGTCAATCATAGCAAACATGAACCCCCTAATAACTTTTAAAAACGGAGCTTCACAGAAAAAAGAGGACTTGAGCACAAACCAGTCTGACTGTAACTACATGTCAACATCACAATCAGGAGGGATAAAAATGTATGTTCTGTGTAATAAAATTTTTAAGTTTGTCTACAGCTCCATAATTTTTGCTGGCGGAGGCGGGATTTATGACCTGTACTGCAGCCTGTAAACAGGGGGTGCTGTTCTCGGCTTCACCCAGCGAGGAGGCAGACTCTGTCCATTCTGTATACAGTCTATGGGCCAAACACTTTTGTATTTTGTATCAGCAACATGTTTATTTGTCATTTTGTCACATACACATGCGTCTGATTATAGCTAGCTGAAATAACGCTAGCTGTTTTACCTGTAACTGTGTAACTTTCCAACATGTAATGTCCTCACTCTCAAGGTAACCTAAACCTAATCAAATCAAATCTATGTACAATTATATTTCACAATTGTCATCCAATAATTTCTAAGATAATGTCAGAACATTTGAAAAACCATACTTACATGTATTAGACGGTCTTTTCATGCTAAATGCTACAGTCACTATATGTGGGTCGTTTCTGACCCATGTATGTAAACTTGATGTAGAAATACAAAATCTGTGTTTCCTCATAACGTAAAAAAGGAAAAATAAAAATTATTATTTGTGCTCAACTAAAACAAGATCTTTACTGCATACTTGGAATAGTGAATGATAAAATTAATTTATGTCAAAGATATACCATAGAAACACTCAGCCATACATGAAATAACATTGAAAATGGATACGGGTCATTTTAGACCCATGTTGTGCATTAGAGGGGTAGTGATACAAAAACGGTTTTTATTCAAAAAGTAAAAAAAGAAAAATTAACATAAGGATGTAGGGTCGTCAAAAACAAGTTAATTGAGGAATTCCTTGAGTACTGACTGATGGAATTAATTTTTTGAGAAGATATATAAAATTTAAACTCAGCCGGGTCTTTTTTGACCCATGTTGCGCATCAAAGGGTTAAAATTCTTTGGACTTGAGAAACAAAAGAGTGGAAGTCTCCTAATCTAACTCCTGTTTTATATTCCAGTTTTTGTTTTAACCAAGTCTTAACCAGGTATTTGTAGAAAGTTCGTATTTGATTCACAGGAGCAGCAGAAACTCAGCTGGTCAAATAAAAATAACCATACTTTGGCAGAAATGGTTTGTGTTAATTTAAAGAGGAACAAAAGGGGGCGTCACCCTATTAGTGGCAAAATAAGAAGGTGGCATTATACTCATCACATATCACCTATACACCAAATAATATGTTTCGCTCCTCCAAACTGAAATAATGGAGGAACAAGAGAGAGACTGTTGTCTTTGAGAATGAGTTGCCTGGTTCTGAATTGTTACCTGATCCCCCCAAAGACAGAGGTGCTGCGTCCGAATTGCCAAGTAGTAGTCAAAGTAGTTGTCGAAGTAGTATGTAGCATGTCCGAATTGGCCACCGGAGCGAGTAGCATGCTACTTCAGATACTACTTCAGATACTAGATATGCCCACATTGTAGGATGGTCACAGTGCATCCTATGGGCATGCTACTGACGTAAAATGCACCGCGGGCTTCTTCTTCGTCCTCTTTAGATGCGTCGCGAACGCCGGCTGGCCACAGCAGCGTACACCATACCATGGCGGAGCAGCAGCAGCAGCAGCAGGCAGGACCGCAGCAGTACAGATGTAAGTTTCATGTAGCTTCGCACACTGTCCTAAAAAATGTGCGGTTGTATCTCTTTGTCATGTCATGGTGTCATATTTGCCCAAGTAATCATTTTATGAGCAAATATGTGGCGACATCATGGAGGTAAAGCTCACTTATTCCATCATTAAACTGCACAGCTGCAGTAATCGGGCAGCTCTCATTGAACAAACGATCACCACGTGAGTGAATGAAGGCTAAAGTAATGGAAAAGCTACTTTGTGAATTTCTAAAGCAGTGCAGGAATATAATACAGCAGCATCCATCACTTGCACTATTACCATTCAAAGAGTCTAAAACGGGCGCAGTACCTACTCTCTGCCTGCGGGTGTCGTCTTTCCCCACCGCTCGTCTAGTGTGTCTGAATTGGGCCAACGTGTTTAGTATGTAGGAGTAGGATCTAGCAGTAGTATGTAGCAGTAGCATGTAGTATGCGGGCGGGCAATTCGGACACAGCAAGGGTGTTTAATTGTAATGTTGCTTTGAGTTGTTTAACATTAATATGTTTGTTTTTCACATTGTCTTAGCAGTTAGATTACATCTTATATTTTCCTTCACTTTATATCTTGGGGATCTGGGGATCAGCGCTGGTTTCAGGAAATGAAGAAAAATCCTGGAAATACCGAGAGCTATTTGGCTACAAATCCGTATAAAGGCGGTAGGCGGAACCAAGTTGTCCATAGTATGTACAGTCTATGGTTTCAGCACAGGGTTTCACTTTCAGCTCTGCTATGTTAGTAGACATATAAACGTAAAGGGGGTTTGGAGGGGGGAGCTCGCCCTTGAATACTTGGACATCGATCTCACCTTGTCTGCTCATCTCTAATCTCAGCCTCATCTTCAGAAGAGCCACCAGGACTGGCCACTGCTGCTCCAGCTGCTGTGGCTGTGCCAGCACCACTGTTTGTTTCTGAAACTGGTTAATGTTGACAACTAACATTAGCTGGCCCATAATTGTCTTTATACTTATAGCCGCAAGCAGCCTGGTTGGCAGCTAGCTAAGCTATCGACTTCATGTGAGCATACAAACATCATCAGCACCTGTCTGGAGTGGACTACGTTAACTTTAATTGGACTTCGCTGAACAAGCAAACTGGCTTCACCTTTAGGAAAGGGAGCAGTCAACAGCTGCTGCCTTCTTTCTTTTTTTCTTCCTCTCAATCTTTTTTTCATACCCTGATTTATGCTTTTTGGGCACCATGATGTCTAGCTCCCAGGGCTCACTGACGTTACATGTGTCGTGTGTGTGTGTGTGTGTGTGTGTGTGTGTGTGTGTGTGTGTGTGTGTGTGTGTGTGTGTGTGTGTGTGTCAGTCTGACAGATCTTTTAAGGTTTTTACACGGTCAAAAACTGTTTTTATCTTTGGAGAAGGTTACAGGAAAACAACTCCAGTCAAATGGAAACTTTTTAAAAACTTTTTAATGGGACAGACAAAACTGTCTGTTTATTTGAGGAGAAAAAGCAGCTAAGTTCAGAGGTGACTGAGATGTTTCTGTCAAAGGTGAGAGCCAGAGTGCAGGTGGACTTGAGCTTCTACAAAGCTGTGTCTGATCTGGTCTTACAGAGACTTCATCTGCTCTGTACAGGAGGAGAAACTCATGTTCAGCCTTTGTTTCAATATGTGGAAAAGTTCAACTGAACTCAGTGTTCATTGTTTTTTTTCTCTCTTTCCTCTGTAAATATTCATAAAGAAACTGTAAATAGAGTTTGTCTTTTAAATCTCTCTCTCTCTCTGTATATCTAAGTATGGACTGACAGAAGTCAGAGAAAGAGACACACAACCTGCCACCTGTCACTTTCCTCTCATTTACAGAAAACCTGATCCAGCTGCAGGACTCACATCTGGGACCTGGAACACCTGTGAATGACCACATCATGGAAATCCTGCAGCCCACATGAATGCATGACACAGGCGGACTGGTAACTTGAGATCCAGCAGAAACAGACAAACTACAGAAAAACAGGCGAGGTGCTTTCAGTGACTCAGTTTGATGATTTTTATTGTTTTCTTCCCCACAAGCAGAGATTTTACCACAATTGGAGCCGAGTCAGAAACATAAAAACAGTCAGACTAATGAATGTGATTATTATTAGAGTGATTGAAAAGCTCATAACAACAGGTTGATCTGCCAAGAGTGTCAATATAGATGTCTTTACAAACAGACTGATCCAACAGAAGCAGACAGAAATATCCACCTATGACATGAATACAAATATTTAGCAAACAGAGAAAGCACAAATAATTTGAAGTAATAATAATTACTTGGACAGGAAATAAGGTCTTTCCTTATTTTCATGTCACTTTTTTAAAAAGTCTCAGACCTTCAACATCTGCACCAACTGAAGGTGATTTGAATAAATGATCATCTTGATGCTGTTGTTATCAAACTTCAGTGAAGATTTTTCTAAATGAGAAACACAAGTAATAAAAGTGATCCACAAACACTGTCCTTAAAGTTGCAACCAAATCAGCATCTTTAGAAAGGAATGAAAAAGCTGAAATGAAGAACTAAACCGAGAGGTTTTGGTGAGACTGATCCACAAACATTTACAAACCAGAATATTTCAAGACTTCAGTGTTCTCATTACATGTTTTTGGTCTGATTGACTCAAAATTCTGTTTATTTTACTTCAATAAACTCAGCAGAGTCACTATCAATGAAGCATAACCTCAGTCCAGCATGTAGTGGCTGAGTGAATGTGGTCTGGACTCTGTGGAGGAGAGTCATGGTTTCAGAAACGCTGAAGAAGGACAGAATACCTGCTCTGTGATCCAGGTACACTCCTACTCTGGAGGACGGAGGACATGAGACATAAGTGCGGACTTTGTTATGCACAAATTCATACCTGTCTTTAGAACATAATAATCTCCAAGATTTGTCATTGTCTCCAAAGAAACAACCATCTGAATACCCTGCTCTGCTGATAGTCTTGTACGCGACTGCTACAAAAACGCAGTACCCTCTCCGCTCCACCTCCCAGTAACAACGTCCAGTCAGACTCTCTCTACTCAGGACCTGAGGATAATAACCAGTGAATCTGTCTGGGTAATCAGGATAAGACTGTAGTTCTGGAGTAAATGTTGCTCTTCTGTTTCCATCAGATAATAACAGCTGTCTGTGTGCTGTGTTTGGATCCAGTGTGATTCTTTGCGAATATCTTAAGAAACCTGCTCTGGTCTTGGGTTCTGGTTCTGGAGGTTCTGACAGTAAAACATCCACTTGAGTCACTGCCTGTGAGACGTTTGTCCACGTCTCTGTCAGAAGATCCTGGAGTTTATCTCTGAGCTCTGACACAGCTGCTGTCACCTCCTCAAAGTATCTCTGAGGATGGATGTTGATTCTGGATGAGTCTGCAGGTTGACCCGGTCCTGACAGTGAGGGGTAACTGTACAGAAACTGGTTGTGGTCCTCTGTGAGTGAAAGCTTCAGCAGATCAGCATCTTTCCTCTTCAGCTCAGTGATCTCCTGCTCCAGATTCTCCTGAAGCTCTTTGACTCGACTCACTTCACGTTTCTGCTGGGATCTGACCTGCTGCTCCACCTCAGAACCACGTTTCTCTATGAGACGGATCAGCTGGCTGAAGATCTCCTGGCTGTGCTCCACTGCTTTATCAGCAGAGCTGTTAATAGTCTTCACCTCCTGTTGGAGCAGCTTCCCATCCTCTTCTCTGTCCTGGATTCTCTGCTGGATGTTTTCTCGACTCTCCTCCAGATCTTTCTGCCTCTCAGTCCTTTCTGCTGCAGCTGAGACTGTGTCGTGGTCTTTGTGTTGGTCCACACAGCAGAGATAACAGATAGGCTGCTGATCAGTGCGGCAGAACAGCTTCATCACCTCATCATGACGAGAGCAGATGTTCTCCTGGAGCTTTTTGGAGGGCTCCACCAGCTTGTGTTTCTTAAATGTAGGTGATTCAAAATGAGGCTGGAGGTGAATCTGGCAGTATGAAGCCAGACATTGCAGACAGGACTTGACAGCTTTCAGTTTTCTCTCGCTGCAGAAATCACAGGCCACATCTTCATGTCCAGCATCAGAGGGATTATCAGGAGCAGCTTGGAGTCCGCTCTTCTTCAGTTCCTCCACTAAACCTGCTAACATGGTGTTTTTCTTCAGGACAGGCCTTGGTGTAAAGGTCTCTCTGCACTGAGGACAGCTGTAGATCTTCTTCTCACCCTTTTTATCCCAGTAGGTTTGAATACAGCTCATGCAGAAGCTGTGTCCACAGGTAACAGTCACTGGATCCTGCAGTAGATCCAAACAGATGGAACAAGAGAAAGATTCCTGGTCCAGATGAACTCCTTTCTGCGCCATTTCAACACTCGCTGTTGAAGACTGACTGACTGACTGACTGACTGACTGAGTTTTGTTTTCTCAGAAGTGAAACTAGTCTGAGCTCTGATCTCAACAACATGTGTGCCAGCAGGATCAGCTCAGCACACACTGGTTACACCCAGCCTTTAGACTGTAGATCTGAAGGGGAGGGAACAAGGAAGTGATTGTGCAGAGTGGACTGTGCTGTGTGAGAGACGAGGGAGGGGAAATCCAGCTCTTGTATAATCCAGGAAGAGGAGCAGCGATGTGAACTTTAGACTCTCAAACTCCAACAAGCAGAGTTTATTAAAGCTGCAGCGCTCCTGAAGATCAGCTGCACCAACATTTCACTAAATTCATCAACATTTATTTCCCTCATATAAGCCTCATGGATCACAGAGAGACTTCCACAGTTTTATCCTGATATCCACACATATTTGAATATACACCACATATAAACTCTCTCTCTTTCTCTCTCTCTCTTTCTCTTTTGCTCTCTCAATTTCAATTTCAATAAGCTTTATTGGCATGACTGTTATTACAATTTTGCCAAAGCATTTCATCACAATAACAACAATAACAACAATAGTGATAACAAAAAAAATATCAAATACTACTACTACTACTACTAATAATAATATTAATAACAACAACAACAACATTATTATTATTATTAATAATAATAATAATAATAATAATAATAATAATAATAATAATAATAACATGAAATATAAAAAACAAATAGTGTGAGTATCATGTTGCAGTCAAAACTCAGGAGCAGCTGTTTAGGCTATTTTGAGCAGCTCTTCCTCTCTTTTTTATGGCATGTTTTCACATACGTTGGTGCTTCTAAAGCAGTGGCCCTTTGTTCTCCTTATAGATGTCTAAACTTTTCCAAGTCTGTGAGTAGAGTGAAGTTGGGTGTTATGTGTGTGAGTCGAGTGTATGTGTGTGTCCTGATGTGTGTGTATATATCACAGTCTCGTAGGAAGTCCTGCTCTGTCTCCAGCTGTGTGTGAGGACAAAGCCGACACATCCACTCCTTTCTGGGCAGCCAGGTCTAGCTGTGGCGGCCGCTCTCTATGGCCGGGCTGTGGTTGCTGAGTCTGTACATAGTCAAGTTTCTCCTCAGTCTAGGGTCAGTTACTGAACTCAGGTAATCTGCCATGGAGTATTGTCTGTTTAAGGCCAGATAGGAGACTGATGCACTGATGGATGTAGAGACCGGGTCTACTTTAAATCAAAAGCATCAGGTTGCATGCAGAGGAAGACTCAGTGCTGAAACTGCAGCAGCGGAGATGGAGGAGGAGTTTTCTTTTTGCGTTCCTCGATCTGAAAGAAATTTTAGAGCCACATATCAAAATTTTAAACCCTTAGATTGACCTATAGGAGCTCTCTGGGATGGACAGCTCCCATTGGTAAATGTTTTTGCAGCCCTTCACCTGCTTGGATGAAAGGATTTTTCTACTCTTTTTTTTTTTTTTTACTTTATGGAGATCGCACTATAGGACCATGATCACCATATAAATAAGGAGTTTATTTCAGTTCAATAAACTCAGCATAAGCTCCATTAGACCTGAGTAATGTCAGTCCAGCATGTAGCGGCTGAGTGAACGTGGTCTGGACCCTGTGGAGGAGAGTCATGGTTTCAGAAATGCTGTAGAAGGACAGAATACCTGCTCTGTGATCCAGGTACACTCCTACCCTGGAGGACAAAGGACCTGAGACATGAGTGCTGACACTGTTGTATACAAATTCATAACTGTCTTTAGAACAGAGTAACCTCCAAGATTTGTCATTGTCTCCAAATAAACAATCCAATGACTTTCCTGCTCTGCTGATAGTCTTGTATGTGACTGCTACATAAACCCAGTACCCTCCCCAGTCCACCTCCCAGTAACAACGTCCAGTCAGACTCTCTCTACTCAGGACCTGTTCATAAACGGTGAATCTGTCTGGGTGGTCAGTATATGACTGTTTTTGTTTAGTTGAGGTTGCTCTTCTGTTTCCATCAGATAATAACAGCTGTCTGTGTGCTGTGTTTGGATCCAGTGTGATTCTTTGTGAATATCTTAAGAAACCTGCTCTGGTCTTGGGTTCTGGTTCTGGAGGTTCTGACAGTAAAACATCCACTTGAGTCACTGCCTGTGAGACGTTTGTCCACGTCTCTGTCATAAGATCCTGGAGTTTATCTCTGAGCTCTGACACAGCTGCTGTCACCCCTTCAAAGTATCTCTGAGGACGGATGTTGATTCTGGATGAGTCTGCAGGTTGACCCGGTCCTGACAGTGAGGGGTAACTGTGCAGAAACTGGTTGTGGTCCTCTGTGAGTGAAAGCTTCAGCAGATCAGCATCTTTCCTCTTCAGCTCAGTGATCTCCTGCTCCAGCTTCTCCTGAAGCTTTTTGACTCGACTCACTTCACGTTCCTGCTGGGATCTGACCTGCTGCTCCACCTCAGAGCTACGTTTCTCTATGAGACGGATCAGCTGGCTGAAGATCTCCTGGCTGTGCTCCACTGCTTTATCAGCAGAGCTGTTAATAGTCTCCACCTCCTGTTGGAGCAGCTTCACATCTTCCTGTCCTGGATTCTCTGTTGGATGTTTTCTCGACTCTCCTTCAGATCTTTCTTCCTCTCAGTCCTTTCTGCTGCAGCTGCACAGGCCACATCTTCAGGTCCAGCCTTAGAGGGATTATCAGGAGCAGCTTGGAGTCCGCTCTTCTTTAGTTCCTCCACTAAACTTGCTAACATGGTGTTTTTCTTCAGGACAGGCCTTGGTATGAAGGTCTCTTTGCACTGAGGACAGCTGTAGATCATCTTCTTAACCTGAGTATCCCAGTGGGATTGAATACAGCTCATGCAGAAGCTGTGTCCACAGGTAACAGTCACTGGATCCTGCAGTAGATCCAAACAGATGGAACAAGAGAAAGATTCCTGGTCCAGATGAACTCCTTTCTGCGCCATTTCAACACTTGCTGTTGAAGACTGACTGTGTTTTATTTTCTCAAGTGTGCTGTGTGAGAGACGAGGGAGGGGAAATCCAGCCCTTGTATAATCCAGGAAGAGGAGCGGCGATGTGAACTTTAGACTCTCAAACTCCCACAAGCAGAGTTTATTAAAGCTGCAGCGCTCCTGAAGATCAACTGCACCAACATTTCACAAAATTCATCAACATTTATTTCCCTCATATAAGCCTCATGGATCACAGAAAGAAGATGTTTTATCCTTATATCCGCAAATATCTGAATATACACCACATATCAACTCTCTCTCTCTTTCTCTCTCTCTCTCTCCCTCTTTCAGGGGCTGTGAGTTTTTCTTCCTGTTTTTCTGTCTTTATGTGTCGTTTGGTTTCTGCTTGTTGTTTATTTTCTGTTTAACCCTCCAATAATCTGTTCTCAAATCTGTGTCTCCTCTTTCTCTGTCGCCCAGAAAGGTGATCGTCTTCAATGTACCCAGCTTAGCCCTCTGGTCTCTCTCAGATGTCAGGTCTAAATGATCCTGAACAAGAGGAATGAGGAGCTCAATCTAGTGTCATCTGAGGGTTGATGACTTTGACTGTCATTGATGTCACCTCTGGAAATAGAAAATGTCCAGCCTGTCCATTTAGAGGTGAAGGTGGGGTGACAGAGTACTGGGGGTCAGACAAAGACAGGTGAGCAAACACAGAGTAGAGTATAGGGACAGACAGGTGGGGAGACAGGTGAGCAGGCAGAGGATAGAAGGAGGGAGAATGAACAGGTGAGCAGGGAAGGGGGCTGGACCTGAGCGACAGGTGGACCAGTAGATCAGGAGACTGATGCACTGATGGATGTAGAGACCGGGTCTACTTTAAATCAAAAGCATCAGGTCGAGGAAGACTTAGTGCTGAAAATCCAGCAGAGGAGATGGAGGAGGAGTTTTCTTTTGTCGCTCCTTGATCTAACAGAGAACAGAACAAACTCGGTTATTGTTTTAATTATCAAATGAATAGTTTTAAAGACAGCCTTATTGTACCTGCTGCTTTTACTTATCAGTCCTTGGCAATTAATAATGTTTAATGTTTAATAATGTTTTTATCAGTAACTTTGGCGTTGGAACACTTCTTTCCTGCATGACTGTAAATTTTTAGATAGTTTGGGATTTTTATGGATAAATTTTAGAGCCACATCAAGATTTTAAACCCTTAGAGGGATATTGGGGCATAAAATTAAGTTATGGTCAAACACATCGTAACACAGAGTTGGACACCCCTTCAAGACATGAATGTTGCTGACTGCTTGCTTCTCTAGTTACACTAATTTTAGTAACGACTGCACGATAGCAATACACAGCAGTCTACCTCTCAATGTGCAAACCTCAACCAAAAAGCCACTCTATAGCCACAAATAATGCTCAGAACAGCACCTAACTTCATCAACAGTACATATAGGGTCCCAGTCATAGTACTATATATCAAACATCTTTTTAGCTTTGCCTGATTTCTTTAGCAAAGAGACTAAACACAACTCACTTATTCTCCTAAAGCAGCCGCTTGTTTGTGGGGGAGTCCCGACGAGTCGATCACTGAGTGTAGCGGAGTTTTGCAGCTCAAAGAAGAACATTTATGATCATTACTTCATGGAAATGCAATCAAACCAAAACGCTCAGGCAAAGAACAGTTGGGTTCAGGGTTGAATTTAAACTCTTTATGTTTGTATTTAAAGTTTAACTCAGCCTCATCTCACAATGTCATACTTCTCCACCCCCATCCTTTCCCAGAGCTCCTAGATCATCCAGCCAGCTGTTGCTGAAGGGAAAGGATCACCAAGGGTTTGCCGTAGCTACCCCAAAGCTCTGGAATTGCTTACCTTTTTTGAAAAAGGACAGACTGAAGACACAACTGTTGTACAAGGCTTTGTATTGTCCCCAAGTTGCTGAGGTAACATTGATGGATGATCATAGACTGTCTACGGACAACTTGGTTCCGCCTTCTGTCCTTATACTGATTTGAGGCCGAATTGCTCTCAGTATTTCCGGGATTTTCTTCCCTTCCTGTAACCACCACTTGCACAGTAGCGTTGTATGCATTAGGTCGACTCAAACAGCATATCCCCTGGGTAGCTACGCAATCTTTGTTCGCCCATAGGCTGTATCAAGTGTCAATCATAGAAAACATGAACCCCCTAATAACTTTTAAAAACGGCGGGGGGTGGGGGGGGGGGGTGGGGGGGTGGTGGTGTATATTTTATGTAATTAATTTCTGAATTTTGTCCACAGCTCCATAGTGATTGCTGGAGGAGGTGGGATTAATGACCTATACTGCAGCCCGTCACCAGAGGTTGCTTTTCTCGCAGTGGCTTCAGCCAGCAAGGAGGTAGACATATTCCACTCTACATACAGTCTGTGGGGATGATCTTTACTAAAATCCAATAAACATTATTTCTTTTGCCCCCATGGATATGTTTATTTTCTTTGACTTTTCTGTCTTCTTGTGCAGAAGGGGGTTCAGATTCAGTGCCTCATGTGTTCAAATCCTAGAAAGTCTGCTGGACAGGTGCACTGGACAGTCGGACAGTTAACTGCACTTCTAGCTGCATACTGTGATCATTACTTAATTATCTCAACAGTGCACCTACAAATAACAAGTTGGCACAGAGCTGTGAATAGTAAAAGGATCAAGAAACAAACAGCCTTGAGTGTAATATTTGTCAACAAAATGAACGCTGACATGTTTGTCACTCCCTCATACATAAGAAAATGACATAACACATAAAAGTCCTTAAAAATGTTGGATGCTGATAAAGTGTAAACTGTGTGCCAATTAGTGAAATCTCTCTCGCGGCCTTTGACTGCTCAGTCAGGCTTATCCTTGTCTGTATGTTGACACTTTCAGCTGCTACATAATGGTTTGTTGTCAGAAAACTCTGAGCATCGAGGTGTCATTGATGTCCACACACACTTTCTTCCGCTGTCACACTAAACATAGGTGCGTTCGTCATTGCTGCATGTTCTATATTTCTCAGCATTTCAGGGCTGTGCTACTCAACATCTCTTGAAGGAACAAGCATTACTTTAATCCTAGATATGACTGTCTTCATGCAGACGTGCATTTAAATCTGCCTTCTGTCTCTGTGTGTTAATGGTTTCTTCAAAATGCTGAAAATTTTCAGCCTACACACACTCTCCCACAGCTTTAAAAAATACAGAGATGTAATGTGTAATGTTTTAAGTGTGATGGCAGAGACCTACAGTACATCATGCTGATGTTGAGGCTAAAGAAGGAGAGCACCAATTGCAAAATGTGGTAAGAATACTTTGTAAGGTTGCTGAAAATCTTACCATCTGAGAGGACATCCTCTAAGAACAAGCTTTAACGCAGGTTGCGAAAAGATCTTTGCAGAAGAAGCTGAGGTAACAGATAACAGCCAGAGTTCAAAATTACACAGCAAGCCACCAACAGGGGGAAACACTCTGTGGCACTGAAGGAGTGAATATCTAAAAAGAAGGGTTGGCTACTAGCATACAGCAAATACTGATACTGGCATATGCATATAGTGATGACTCAGGTAAAAATCTTCGTGAAAATTTCAGCTGTTTCTGTTCATACATGCAGCCAAAACAGAATTTTTTTTAGAGTTTTGTGCAAATGTAAATACATCTTAAGAAGGATCCCTGCTTTGGTTTACAGTGACCTAAACTTAATCCTCAGCTAACCACTTTTCACAGCAAGCATTTGAGACCCAGTCACTTGTTACGATCAGCCTGGATTGTCTTGTCGATCTGGCTTTGCATGCCAGTCAAAAGAAAACCGGTTAGCCAATGAAACTCTTAAACAATAACAGCAAAAGTTGAACCAATCACATAAACCATGTCCTTGACTGAGCCCTTTTGCTTAAATATGTATTTAGCAAATCTGAAATTCTTGCTGCTTCCAAATTGATAGAAAAGAAAATCCAGTGCAGAACAAAGTTTGCAGGACTTGCACCAAGTATTTCAAATCTGAACACAACTTTGGGAGGATTTTAGGAACTGTCATTGATCACTTGAGCAGCTAGTTACTGTCTGAGTAACCTTTGAGCCGCCTGAAGAAAATTGCCCTGGGGTGACAGAGGAGAACATGACAAACATTTCCTACCTCATTAATCTAATAACAATATTCCTCTTTAAATTCATCCTGGCTTTGTACTGCTGGCCTGTTTTGCTCTTCCTTTCTCTTCCCCAAAAAGTAATTAAAAGAGACATTTAATTTGTGATAACCTGGTTGCAGCTTATCAAGAATCAGTCTAATGTTTGCTAATTACAGTCCTGCAGTAAAGGAAGATTGAAAAACTCTGTCCCCAAAATAGGAAAGAGATGCTAAAGCACACATAAAATGACATAACCAAAAGGCTTAAAGAATCTTTCAGCTGTGTCCCATAATGCCATGTTCAATAAAGTGCTTCAGAATTCTCAAGACCCCTTGACCAAATGACTGACTCAAACTTGGCTGCTGGTCTCGACTAAAACTCTTTCATTTCCTCTTGATGCTTTTCTCTGCTGTCAAATCTCTCCCTCCAGCTTACTCCTCTTGGGCGGCGTTGTTTAAGTTTATGTTCCACTTCATCTCACTCACTAGAACTACAATCACTGCAGAAAAAAAAATTGTGTAAGTAAAAGCTACTGATGTTGGTGCAGTGCAGTTGGTGCTGTGCTGCTAAAGCCGTGATAAGACACAAAGTTCAGGCCCAAGCTTCTGACCTCCAACTGTCTTCAAGAAATCAGAGAGTGTGCTCCATCTGATGATAAATATTACTGATAATATTTAATGGCATATGAGTGCCGAGCTCCCATATAACATAAAGATAGAGCTTAACATACTAAAGAGAGGCAGTACATGACCTCAGGCAGCATTAACACAAAACTATGGAAGAGAGATACATCAATTTGTTGTACTGTAATTGCACTCAAAGACTGGGTTTGACCTGGAAAGGACGCCATGCATTATAGGCTATATTTGAGTACTTTTA